GGGAAAGGGGGGGCAAGAGGGGAGAAAAGAGGGGTTGGGAGCCCCAGAAGTAAGTGGGAGGAGGGTTGGAAGTTTCGGAATGAGTGGAAGGGGGGTGGGAGCCCCAAAGTGAGGTTGGGGGGGTCTGAGGATTGAGGGGACGGTGGGAAAGGGGTGGGAGAGGGGGACAAGGGGGTGTGGGAGAGCAGGCAGAGGGGTGCCATGGGGGTCCCTGGGTGTCCCTTGAGCCCTGGAGCGGTTCCCTGGGGCTCTGGGGGGTGGGATCTGCAGTGGGGGGGTCCCCAACTGCCCTGTCCATCCTCGGGGGGCTGATGGGGTGGTTCCCCCCCAGCCAAGAGCCGGTGCTGGGGCGTCTGTGGGGCAGAGGGGGGTGGGAAAGGGGGGTCCGGGGTGGCCGCCTGAGCTCCCAACCTGCTGTGGGGGGATGGGGAATTATGGGGGGGGACGGGCCACCCCCTGACCCGTGTCCTGCACACACAGGGGTGTTCCAGCTAATGACAAAGTCCGAGTGTTACTTCATCAACGGCACCGAGCGGGTGAGGCTCGTGAAGAGGTACATCTACAACCGGGAGCAGTATGCCCGCCTCGAGATCGATTTGGGGACCTATGTGGAGGACACCCTGTTTGGGGAGAAGGTTGCCAGGGAATGGAACCACCTCCCGGAATGGCGGGAGCTCAAATGGTCTGAGATGGAAAGGTTCTGCCGGCACAACTACGAGTTGTCCACCCCGTTCCTGGTCAACCGCAGAGGTGAGCGTGGGGCAGAGCGGGTCCCCTCAGCCCCTGCCACGGGAATGACCCTGGAGCCCCTCAAACTCTCCCTGAGAATCACCCCAGACCCCTCAGCCCTCCCTGTGCCCGTCCCTTGGCCTTTTGCCCCCTCCCAGTCCATTGGATTCCATCCCAATCCATCCAAGTCTCTCCCAGTGCCCTCCAGTCCCTCTGAATCCATCCCAGTTTTTTCAGAGTCCATCCCAGTCCATCCCAGTCTCTCCCAGTGCCGCCCCCCCGCGTCTCCACCCCGCTGGGGCCACCGAGCTCAAGCCCCTCAGCCAATCCCAGTGCGCCTCTCTGATGACGCTCCAGTTGCCAGGCAGACCCAAAACAAAGAGTTCCCTCACCACCACTCAGCCTCCCAGGCCCGATCGCTTCCTTCCCAGTCTAGACCAGTCAATCCCAGACCTTCCCAGTCATTCCCAGTCAATCTCACTTCACTCCCAGACCCTCTCGATCCATTCCCAGTCATTCCCACTTCACTCCCACATCTCCCAACTCTTTCCCCAGTGACCCCCAGCCCAGCCCCTTCTACCCCACTCTATTCCCACTCCCTCCCACTGCCATCCCAGTCCCTCCCA